CCGAATATTCCGATGTCGGATTCCAGCGAGAACACACCGACTTTTTCTATCATCATCATCATCATCATGATGGATTGATCAATATATACACTCATTCAATTATCCTCAATGTTGACTGCCTCATACACACTCTTGTGACAATATCCCTTGGTGCGCAGATCATCTCGCCAGTCACCATAGGAGGCGTCGAGTCTATTAGCAAATGTCAATAACATTCCAGCAAATACTGGGTGCGTAGACACTTACTGTAGAAGAGGGCTCGCAGTAGTGGTCTGGGTCGCCATGGTTCGTGAGCAGGCGCTGAATCGAAGACAGTTCGTAGCAGTTGAATAAGTTGGCTCAGCGGGTTTGGTGGTGCAGTTGAATCTGCTTGCGGGCTTCAAGATGCCTGGAGCCGAAGCAACGTTCGCTTTTATGCGTTGAATGCTTGCCACTTGGGTGAACAGCGATCTCCTCAGACTCATAGTGTTACTGGACTTGTTTACAAGCTCTGGTAGTGATGCCGCTATTCGAAGCACCCACAGCCCCTGAAATGCTATGGAACTGCCCTGAAATAGAGTACTCTGCCTTGTGTAATGCTTATCCCACCTTCCACACCATGTAATGTCCATGTCGTCACTTGATTCCGAGCAATGAGGTCCTTGGATTTGGATATCATACGATCCGGGGAGTAGCGCTTCAGCGGAAGCCAATGCCATTGGAAGGTCCTCCAGTCCGCATCCGAGTGGCTCTACTGTGCAATTGACGAAGAGTTGCTACTGTATCGTCTATCCCGTCCACCTTGCGCGCACGGCGGGATGCGGACGAAAAATGCCTCGCTCCCGCTACCCGCTCATCCGCCTTCCCGCCGACCCACATCTCTGTGGATACCCCTGGCGCAACGATGTGCCGGCCAAGGAGGCGGGCGTTGGCTTCGGTCTAAGACCAGTTTGCGGGAAAGCGCCCGCTGACTGCATCGAAATGGCGGGAACGGAAATGCTGTCTCTTGGACATCAGAAAGGCATCGGGATGCTGAAGTGGACTGGGCACGGTGGGTCGGAAGCTAGTTCCTTACATGTAGAGCAGCACCACGACATCGTATTATTGTGAATAACCTCGACCTGACCTAGGTACGATTTCGCGATTTTGTTGAACCACTTTTTAACATAGTCTTGAAAACATCGTACTTGCTTGGAATTACAAGATGACTTTGACCACCGAAGAAGCGCGCAAGTCTATGTCATTTGAGGAGGGTGCCCTGGTAAGAATCTGCCCCTTCCGGTACTTGCTGAACGGATCTGACCAACAGTCAGATTGAACCTCTCGCTGTCGCTGTTATGGCTGTCAGCAGTGTGGCGAAGATGAAGCACAATGCCAATGTGGCAGTTTTTGGAGCTGGACCCGTGGGACTCCTGTGAGTTTATATCTGCTCCGATCTCGTAAGATCCATCTGATAGGGGTTAGAACCATGGGAGTTGCGAAAGCTCTTGGGGCTAGACGAATCTTGGCAGTTGATGTCAACGAACAAAGACTCGACTTCGCCAAAGACTACTGCGCAACGGAGGTTCACGCCGCCATCCCTAAAAACTCTGGAGAGGACAACATGTCTTACTCTAAGCGACATGTAAGTCTCCTAGAAGCCGGGTGCAATGGCCTACACTCGATTGACTCTTCCCAGGCATTCGAGATCATGAAGAAATTTGGACTGGGCGAACGCGGAGAGGGCATTGATCTTGTTGTAGAATGCTCGGGCGCCGAAGTTTGTGTTCAAACTGGAATTTGGCTCGCGAAACGACGTGGCATGTTCGTGCAGGTCGGCGCTGGTCCGGCAAACAACCTCATTCCAATGTCCATCCTTGTGAACAAGGAGGTCACTGTGAAGGGAAGTTTGAGGGTACGTGTTATCCGAAACTTCGCACAAATTCTTCTCGGTGGGCAGACGCTGACTATTTCAAGTATGGGCCTGGTTGCTACCAGCTAGCTATCGATCTTGTGCGGCAAGGCCGAATCAACTTGAAGCCCCTCCTGACACATCGGTTAGACATCCACGTCCCCGCAGATGGTTTCCATAAACTAACGTGATTCTCACAGTTTCCCTTTCAAAGATGCCGCGAAGGCCTTCAAAGCAATGCAAAATGGAAAGGGGGATGATGGAAAAGTGACAATCAAAGTCATCAGTAAGTTTTCATGCGTACGATCTCTTTAGCCAATAATCATACTGACACCCATACAGTTGACGGGCCTCTGGCTTGAATTCATTCAGGAGACAAACTATTGGGAATGTCAATCGATGTGTTGGGGACTTTTGTATGTATGGATGGAACATGTGCATCAAGGTTGTACATCTATCATGAAGTACTGTCCCTTCAAAATTGGAATCCATAGAAGATCTACTCCACATGCCCTACACACAGACTTGAAAGATTATTTTCACCGTCGCACGCTGGTTGAAATTAGAACAGAATGGCATAATGCATCTAGCCTTCCATCGAGAGAATCGACGACATGACTATGAGTACTAATAAAACACACATCAATGAAGTACTGCCGTCATATAAATTTCATATGAATACACAGGTCAAATCGTCTGCGTATTCTATGCTGGGAGGCTGGAGTAAACTGGAAAGATGACATCAGTTGGAAGGTGGGCTTCAACGAATGTCATTTAAATTCCACATCACAAGATCACCCACAATCATGTGGAAGAACGGGGAAACATCTCATCACACGATGCAATATGTGACGAATAGTCTTAATTCAAGGTCTACGCGACTGAGCACCGGCTTTCTACACGATGACTTCGCTCTTCAATCGGCTTTCATGATGACTCTCAAACAAAACTGGCGGTCGATCTCCTGTATGAACATTAGATACCGACTAGTGTGACATTTTAGACGAGAACTCACGGTTGGTAAGGCTCTTCGAGAAACTTGATCTCCTCCTCACTCAGCTCGATCTCAAGTGCAGCAAGAGTTCTTCGAATCGCTCAATCTTCGAGACGCCGACAATGGGAGCAGCCACGGCGTCCTTATGAAGAACCCAGGCTTGAAAGAGTATTAGTATCAACATTCAAGTGGAGGGGATGGCTTGGGCCGACATACCAAGACCGATTTGAGCCATGTTGTATCCCCGCTCCTCGGCCAGCTGCTCAACCCTTCGATTGACTTCTTTTTCCCACTCTGCGCCAAGCAAGCCTTCATCGTGATATGCATCCGAAGTCTGCAGTGAATGTCAGTAAGTTATTTTCTTATCAAAGGATAGGTCATTCTCACTGAGCGGACAGTCTCGTAGGCACGAGACAGAGGCCGCGCCAAGTCTGGTCATTTTCACTCGTGATTAGCTGATGAACCTGAGGCACTGCGTTTGAATTTGAGAGGTTGGCAATACTTACGACCTCTTGCGAGAGGGCTCCATGGGGTCGAGCCGACGCCAAGGTATTTCAACAGTGGCATCATCTCCCTTTCTTCCTCTCGGTATAGGAGATTGTAGAGGTTCTGACAGTTGACAAACGGAGTGAGGTTGTTATTCAGAGCGTAGTCTATGATCAGGGTCAAGTCAGATTCTATCCATTTTAAGGACTGATCGTGAACGTACTCTGCATTGCATGGAATTGCCAAGCCCAACAGCTACTGATACCGATGTAGCGTACGAAGCCTGCTTTGACTACATCATGCAGGGCTGTCATGGTCTCTTCAATCTGCGGAACACTGTCAATACGTACAGGAGACACATAGGGTAACCGCGACAAAGGCGTTACGTACCGGTGTTTCATAGTCAAATCGATGAAGCTGCAATGCCTTCGTTAGCTGAGCGCTTCCCCTTATCCCCGGCAAGCTTACCTGCAGGACATCGATGTAATCTGTGTCCAGCCGCTTTAGCGCCAGCTTTACGTTATCAAATATGTGCTGAAGTCATCTGCTGTCAGTAAGGCGTAGGAGAATTCAAGAAATTTGGATCATACTTTTCGGTTGTTCCCAGACGTCATGGTCAAGCCTGCCGGGCCTTGTTTCTCGGAGTCTCCAACCGGGTGAAAAGACTAACAGAGATTCTTTCAGTTGAAATGCCGGGAATTGAACTTGTAAGGCCTCCTTACCTTGGTCATCACCACGACAGACTCACGTGGAACGGTTTTGAGGAACTTCCCAAGAATCTCCTCGCTAATACCGTTACAGTAGAAGTTGGACGTATCGAATGTGTTGAAGCCCAGTTCCCAAGCTCTCTGTTAAAAGGTCAGACGAAATCCATCCTGAGAAATTTTGATCTAGAATACAGTGAATGTTTACCTTCAAGTGCTGCAGCGCCTCCTCCTCCTCGATGCGCCACGCAACATCTTTCTTGGTACCGTAGGTTGCCATGCCGAGAATGAGACGCGATACCTGGATCCCAATATCAGCCAATGATAACACAGCAACATCTCATGAGACGCGTAAGTACCTCCAGTCCACTCTTCCCCAATCGTACGTATGGCATTTTCGGGGCCGGCTTGGAGTGTCCGAACTCCGTCGGCACCGTCCGGCCTTGATATCCGCTGTTGATCATGATTGAGGATGTGGCAAAGTGTTGATTTGGAGATTTTGCTAACTAAGGTTCGGTCAAGACTTCACTTGGGTACGGGATCGCAGTCTTCTGTATTTCCATGATCGTGAGCTTGTCTCTTATACCGGAATTAATCATCTCCTTCAACAGGCCCCAAAATCTTCACATCACCGCGACACTTTCCCCCGCACTTCCAAACCAACAAGACTGCAGGTGCTTCACCCTTTTCGGGGCGGCTACTGCCAGCTAAACAAGGAATTTACGATAAATGATCGCTGACATCATTGTGAGCCGTCTCAAAACAGTGGGAGGTTTGCGGAAGAGCGGGCTGGCATAGCGGGCTGGCATACTCTGTTTCAAGCGGAGACGTTTCCGCTTGGCCGCCTTTGACCCAATGCAGTCTTCTGCATACCACTCGGTCTACAACTTCCTCTTTAGGACGCTTGTATGAGAAGTCTGATTATCGAATCGCCAGCTTGTTGCGAGTTTCTCATAGCATTGATCAGATGTTCAGGAGCCAAGACGGTTCTTCAAAGAATGATCTTTTCCTAGTCGGAATTGCATTTCCAAAGTTACAATGTCAAACATTGATGATGGTGTAGATCGATGTCTTCGTGCCGCAGCGGCGGGTAGGCGGGAACGCGGAGATGCGGATAGACCATGTTACGCATTATGGACACGGATTCTGGCAGTGCGATGACATCAAGCAAGTTCGGGAGGCAATCAAGGCACACGTAGCTGCCGAATTCCATGCGTCGACTCTCGCCAAAGCCAATGATGATTGGGTGTGTTGGATTCAGCAATGGCAGTCTTCAATCGCTAAGGATGGTGGTTCCTGTCCTTACGTCCGATGCACCCCAGGTTTTCCCCAGACCCACCGACGCGTTACCCCGGATTCGTGTAGTGTATTCCTCTAGCTTGTATTTCCAGGAAAGCAGTGAGAACGTAGTTAGCTCTAGTCTAATGTTGGTGAAAAGGAAATATACAAATGATGTTTACTGCCGTGACGCCAGGAGCCCAGTCTGTTGAACCATCGAATAATCAAACACTGCCAAATTCACTTTTCGATTCCCTTTCAAACCATTGTCCATCGCGATGGCTGGCCTAGAGTCCCAAGTCCGAAACTATCGGTCCATACCGAACAACACGAATGTTTCCTGGTTTTTGGATCCATGTAATCTAGGACTTCTGTCCTTGTCTGCGATTCCCGTATGTCTGGCAACTAATTAGATTGATCAGGTCTTCGTATCAACATGATTCATTGTTTGGGGTGTTGTTTTACATTGTTCTTTAATGGCTGTGAGTACCTTCTCCACACCAAAAACTCCTAGCTCTTGTCTAATGAACCTCCACTGCCATGACAGACGATGGAAGCTTATTGAACGGACTCCAAAGCATCGATCGTTGGCACGAATACTTCGACAACCCCAGCGCTACCACATTGGGCTTAATGAACTCGGCTGGATTTCTTCCAGGTATTGTGGCGGGCTTTTGTGGCGACAGACTGGCTCAAACCTTTGGCAAACGGTTGACCCTCTGGATCGGAACCTGTATTACTGTGAGGCTTGGTTGACATCTGTCGGCATGATTACCCTCGCTGACCCAGTACTATGCTAGATCGTTGGTATTATCCTCATGTCGGTATCTACCACCACCGGGATGTTCTGTGGAGGGCGGACTATGATTGGCTTTGGAACCCCTCTAGCCGTCACAGTATCGCCCTCGCACCTTCAGGAAATTTCGCATCCTAGATATCGTGCTCAAGTGAGCTCATTCTGTAGGCTCTGTCGTCTCTCGGGATCTTTCTGGCTCTACCGCTAACTTTGCTGTTCGTCTATTAGTCACTTGCACATACTACATCGCTGCTGTGCTATCAGCTGGGGTATGCCTAGGCTGTATGACTATTCCATCAGACATGTCCTGGCGCATTCCATGCTGGACACAGCTCGTAGGTCCGATATTGACTTTGGCCCTGACTAGCACAATGCCAGAGTCCCCAAGGGTGGATGCTCTCTCTCGATTTGATCATTGGAGGAAGTCACTAACCCTTCTCTTAGTGGTTGGTGAAGAAAGGTAGGCTTGCAAACGCCCGCACAATTCTCATCAAGTACCATGCGAACGGAAAGGAGGACGACGACTTGGTGGAATATGAGTTCCGGGAAATTGTGGAAGCATTGAAGCTGGAGGATCTCAACAAACAAACCACATACCTTGACTTCTTCAGAACCCCAGGAAACCGGCATCGACTATTGATCTTGGTCGTGCTTGGTGCAAGTCTGAATTGGGTTGGCAACGGAATCATGTCCTACTACTTGAGCCCCATCCTTAACGGGATCGGTGTCACCAACACCCGCTCTCAACTTCTTATCCTCGTCGGCCTCAATATTTGGAACTGTTCGTCCTACAGCCATCCCTCTTACTCACACAGAAGGGTTGAAGCTGACCTTAGAGAAACAGTGATTTGGTCCACTTCTGCTGCTATCAACATCGACAGGATTGGCCGCCGACCTCTTTGGCTCACCGCCACCAGCGGTCAGCTAGTCACCATGGCTGTGGCCATGGGGCTTTCGGCTGCGTACACAGAGTATGGTATTAAAGCCGCGGGAACAGCCGTCATACCCTTCTTGTTCCTCTTTTATGCGTCCTACGACATTGCTTACACACCCATGTCATATGGGTAAGTCTACACGACGATACTTTGACACGAACCTGCACTGACGCATCCTTAGTTACCCAACTGAGATCCTGACGTACAGCCTTCGAACCAAAGGGCTGGCCATTTATATCGTGGTAATTGCTGTAGCTGTATCGTTGAATACCTGGATCAACCCCATAGCACTCGATGCTTTGGGCTGGAAATAGTGAGTTGTGTGCCCAGCGTGGATATCGATCCAGTTTAAAGGCTAACATAGTTCTTCCCAGCTACTCAGTCTACATTATAATCAATGCTGTTCTGTTTGCCATTCAATACTTAAAATTTCCGGAAACGAAGGACCGTACTATTGAAGAGATAGCAACGATATTTGACGGTACACAAGCTACCACGGTCATGTACGCGCGAGGCGAGAGTATGGAAAGGGATGTGCGAAGTGTGAGAGAGGAGCCGGAGGACAAAAGCACGTAACGCTGTTTCGGCTTCCTAAACTTGGATCGAATATCTACATATATTTATGCCTCACTCCGCCTCCGTTGGGTAGGACTCAGGAGTCATGTTTACTTGAACCCCTCCCCTCTTAGCATACGTAGAATCTGCAAATGGCAACGGCCACCCGCCTTCCTCTTCTGAGGTAGCAAGCCAAAGTCGCTGTAGCCATCGCTTCTTAGTAATATCGTTGTCATCCTTATATGCCGATCGCGCATGCAAGTTGTGCGTGTTCGTAACAAACTGCACATCGCCCTGCTGTAGAGTCATCTCCAGCGACAAACGGTGGCACATCTCTTCCATCACCTTGATCGCCTCCTGTTGAGCGTCAGTGTACTTTGGCAGCAAGCCTGCCTCCCAAAATCTCTGCAATACTCCCACATAGTACGAGTCCCACTTCATGCTCAGCTTGCCATTGTAGTAGTAGTATCCCGGCGTACGCATCCATTCGTTCTCGCCTTCGCTCGTTTCGCCCTTTCGGTCGTAGAACCAGTGTGGCAAACACAATTGCCGAAGAACGTCTGGTCGCTCCTTTCGTAGGATGTTGTAGATATGGTGCGTAGAGACGACTTGCGACTGGCCACCCTCCATGGCCTGGTGCAAGCAGAGCAGTCCGACGATATCACTCTCATCAGAATGGTAGGTCTGCGCCTTCTGAGTTCGATAGATCCTTCCCTCGCCATTGATCTCTTTCCCCTCTGCCAGATCTTTGATGTGCCCCAGCATGTGGCCTTGGCGGTTCTGGCTCAGGCGACGTCCGATGTAGGAGCCTAAGCCAAGGTACGCGATCGAGGCTTGTCTAGTCGTCCAACTGTGAACGGGAAGACCTCTCAGCACGCCGAAGCCAATGCCATTGATGAGCTCATCTCTGACTGACGCGAGAGTATAGACAAACGACGTGGGAAGAATAAAAGTTGACTTGTCGACTTCGGAAAGTTGTAAGTTGTTCTTCTCGATGTCGTTAACGGCACTTTCAATGTGGGTGACTTCGTCAGGTGAGAAAACTCGGAGCCAGCGACTGGTATCAGCTTCCAGATCTTCCTTCGTCCATACAGTGCGGCCGACTATAGCCTCTGGCATAGACTCGTAGGGCTCTAGGAGGTCATACTCCGGCTCTCGCTGCCCGGAGCTGAGGCCGAGTCCATAACACCAAGTTTGGAGTGTCGTGGTCTCTGGGGCTGCGGTAATCGTAGACATATTGGAAGGTTTGTATATTTCAGGAATAGACGAAAACTATTGAGAATAGTAATTGAGGGGCAGATAATGATCTTCCGGCCGGTTGGTATTTGCGCTCATAGAAACGCTGACATGGAGTGAAGTTTGTCGATCCGATGGGAACGCGTCCTTTTGTATCCGAGCGTGAAAATGCCATTCAAAAGCCCTCGGAACAGCTTCAGATATCTGTCTGATACGCTGCCCATCCTCCTTGTCCATCACTTCTTCCTTGGTTGGCTTCGAAGTACGGGAGCCCTTCCGACACAAGCTGTACGCTTTCGTGATTCGAATGCCGGTTTTCCTTGCAAACTTCGCATTGTCTTTCCTCGGAGGAAGATCGGGGGGCTAGTCGGAGTCGATGTGTCGAGCAATCACGTCGCTTCATCTCCTATCATATCGGTGTGATAAGGCAGCGCCCGCACCATCTTCCCGAGGAAGGAGACTCCGAGGACCCACTATGGCGCCAACGCCACCCCTGACAGCATCATTCGCAACATCTCAAGAAAACTGGCAATCGGAATCTCTTACTCTGATGAAGATCTGTGTGTATTGCCTCTGTTGTCATCTTTGGGGACTGAAAACAACCGAGGATCAATGCACTAGGCATACTGCCGGAAGAAAAGCCATGGTTCCCTTCGCTATGAGGCAGCGAACGGCCATCTTCGATGTACATAAAGCAGTAAGCGCACATGCTGGCAAGAAAATCTCAAAAGAAAAGAGGCTTCAAATTCAGATTGTACATCTTCCATAAGCTTCTAAGACCATATCATGTCATCCAACACCATTCCAACGGCAGTTTTGAAGCTTCAGACACCAAGAAGTGACAGTAATGGTTCCGCCCAGAATTCTTCCCGTCCCCGGGTCTTGGACACGCACATGGACGGACTCTCAACCGTTGATGGCTCAGGTGCCACCATCGGGAGAAGCGCTCTCATAGCAGGTATTCCAAGATTCACAGATCCTTATCAGGAACGTAAATGGGTTTTGGCACGGATGGCTGGAGCTTTCCGAGTGGTTGCAAGAAAGGGCTACCTCGAGGGCACTGCTGGCCATATTTCAGTCCGCGATCCAGTTGACCCTGACACATTCTGGATAAGCCCGTAAGTCACTTATCCCGCCCGAATCTTCGTTCCGCTCACCCTTATTGACGACCCGCGAAAGCCTAGCCCGCCACTTTGGTCTCATGAAGGTGAGCGACTTGGTGCAGGTGAACATGAATGGTGAGATCATAGGTGGCAATCATGTGAGTTTGGAAACATGACCGAATTCACTGTACTCATACTAAACCAACGAGGCATGCATCAACAACGCCGGTTCCAATATTCACTCGGCTTTGCACCACGCCCGTCCCGATGTCAACGCAGCGTGTCATTTCCACAGCATTCACGGAAAAGCTTGGGCATCCTTCGGACGACCACTCGAGATGCTCAACCAAGATGCTTGCACCTTCTACAATGATCATGCCGTCCATGACATGTTTGGTGGTATTGCATTTCAGGCGTCGGAGGGGGGGCGGATCGCGGCAGCATTGGGACCCAACAGGTGCGCGATATTGAAGAATCACGGCCTTCTAACAACGGGAAAGACTGTCGATGAGGCTGCATTTCTCTACACTCTGATGGAGAACTCGTGCCGCGTCCAGCTTCTGGCGGAAGCAGCTGCTGCTTCTGGTATTCAAAAGTCTATCTGTCCTCATGAGGAAGCGGAGTATACGTATCGACTGACCACTCCCGAAGCCATGTGGTTGGAATTTCAACCCGATTATGAGTACGAGCTGGCGGTTTCAGGAGGCGACTTCCTACTTTAGCGTCGGATACTACGATAGACAACGGACGAAAAGAGTTTTGACCAACATAAATACGCCACCATTGCTTGTTCCTTCATACTCTTCGTGGCCTTCTGGTCATGTGCTTGATGAAATTCCATACGTTACACAAGGATTATATTGACCTAGCGCAGGCTAGGGGCTTCATTTGGGTCAAAGAGCCAGTCTGACAAGGGCCCGTTCTCAGATGCTTACAGTTACTACAGCCTCTGCGCCACTGGTGTCTAGTCGAATGCTTCCTGGCTGCGTGACGGCGCCGTAAATTGCTTGCAGAGAGAGATTGTTATCGATAGTGAATGTAAAAGACTGGTGTGTTTCTTTGAGATGGAAATGTGATTCACCTTGTCAGTCTGTTCCCGAGTGTGTATAAAACACCTCCATCAACCCAGCTACGATCTAAGCAAAATGAGAAGGAGCAAGCCTCACTCACTCGACATCATAAGCCACCTGTCTTTGCCAATCGCATTTTGGATCTTACACCGCTTGATTTGACACCCCGACAACCATAATGCAGCTCAGCTCTCTGACTCTCGCCTTGGCCGCTGGCCTTGCCGTCAACGTCCAGGGCGCCGCTATCCTCGCACCCCGCAACGAGACCGCGCCAGTTCTTATGTACAGCCGGGTGGTCGAGGCTGGAACCTTGGAGTACTGGGGCTCTACTTCTGAATCATCAGCCACGTTCGATGGGGATGCCGCCTGGGAGAACCAAGCATCCTGGCCTCCGGTCGCTTCGCCGGCGGGATCCGAAGCCAACGCTCAGTGTGGCAGTAACAACGTCTTTTGTTCCGACACAAACGGCGCCCCTACGGACTTGTGCAAGAGATTGGTCAATACCCTGCTCAACAACCGCGGTGTCATCGTCCCCAGCAATGTGAATGGTATCTCGCTGACCTCGGATCGCTCCATCTGCTGGATTGGTTGGAGGGACACGATTACCAACATGCCACAGGTACGTAGTCTGGAACATTTCCTCCGCTCTCCTTTGGGTGGGACTTAACTAAGATATAATTCATCAAGGGCAATCTCATTGACGCCGCTGCGACCACTATTGGCAAGTGCGGATCTGATGATGCCGTTTCGGGTTGGGCAGAAAACGTCAATCTCAACAACGTTTGCAGCCGCCAGTGTCTTTCCGACCGCTTGGGCTGCTGGTAGACTGCGGTGTCGCTTGACGCTTGAGTGGAGGTAGATGTATCTGTTTCCACAAGATATCTGCAGTAAGTCTCGATTTGCCGATCTACAAGGCGCCTGGCCTGCAGAAGAAATTGTAATACACAACGCATGGGTGGCAGTTTCTTATTTTGTCTCGCCGGCAACAATGAATTGATCGTGGGGACTCTGAGAGCTCCAACAGAATGAGAGCAAACTCTCGTCGTTTGTGTATTACTTAGTTAGGTAGTAAGGAATTGAAACTCCAGTCACCAATTATGCCTTTCACTTCCCTGACAGAAACTTTGCTCATTACCAAGAACAGTCCATGAAATTTGCGGCGACTTCCAGTACAGCATACTTCGTGTGGGCTTCCATGGCGAAGTAGGAAGCTCAACACGGTGATCATCTTCCGACTGTAAACTGCCAGTGCTTGGCCTTCAACAGGTTGTATAAAACCACCAGCGTTGGAGTCGCGACTCCGAAGCTGCGCGCGGTACGAATAGGGTTGCCAAGAATGACCTCAATCTCCATTGGTCGTCCTCTAATAGCATCGACCTGCATGCTGGGCTTTAAGTGTGCTTCCTTGGGTGTAAAAGCGACCATATCTTCTTGGATCCCCGACGGAAGCACACAACCGGCTGCTCTTGATTTCCACAACTTCGTCCATGGCGGGGCGAATGAGTGTGTCAATACCTCCGGCATCCTGTACGGTCCCCGAGTCCATGTTTGTCAAGGCGCAGACTGTGTTGAAAGATGCATTCCAGATGAGTTTTCTCCATCGATACCAGATGATATCTTCTTGAATGTTGCACTTCGCTCCCCCAAGATTGTACATGTCTGCAAATTTGACACATGAGTCTCGAGACTTTCCGTGGCTCTGAAACGGAAAGGGTGAGATCTGGAGGATGTCCGGGTCATTGTGGAGAAGCTCGCGGCCGTTGAGCTCACATCCGATCATGGGGACGTCTGACAGAAGTGTGGCTTTTGGAAAGGCGTCAACGAAAGGTTGTTCGATGTCGATGCCGTTCTGGACCAAGACGATCGAGGTGCGATCCAGAGTTACAGCGGGAGCGATGATATCCGGGATCGAGTAGATGTCAGGGAGGTTCTTGAGGGCGACGACAACATAGTCAAAGGGGCCGTGTTGGAGAGAATCGTGGACAGTACGCTCAACTGTCCGTTGGTGTCAGCTTTAGAAACCTCACGTTTCACAAATGACGTACTATTATGAGGTCTCCAAGAGTCGATCTCCCCATGGTCGACGCTTTGGATTCGGAACCCTTGGCTTTTCACCAAGTCAAAGTTCGACCGCAGGATGGCCGTGACCGTTGCCTGCCCCGACTTCTGCAGCGCAAAAGCGCACATGGTGCCGACCGGACCGCAGCCCACAACCAGTATCTTTACTAGCTCCATAACAAATACGAAACCATTTGCAAATTGATTGATGTCCTATTAGTGGATTCGATTGATTGTTCAAATAAAGATGGGAAACACCGTATACATATCCCCGGTACCTAAGTGCGCCGCAGGCTTTTGCCGGCGGCCTATTCTATCTTTCTCCATGGCGTCTAATCTGACGCGGCAAGAGACTGCGAGAGACTAACTTGAGCAGCAATATTACTTTCCTCCCACGAGGCGTCCTGCAGAACTCTTGAACTTTTGCCACGAGCTCACGCTAGGCACCTCGAGGTCCTCCTCCGCCTCCAACTCGGCCAACCCACTCTGCAGGTCGACGTCTTCGGACTTGATGGCCCAGGTATCTCCGCGGTACAGGAAGCGGTGCACAAAATAGATGACCACGAAAAGTGGAAGGCCAATGTACGCCGAAAGAAAGTCTGCCACCGACCATCTCGACGGGAAGAACACCGTGAATCCATTCAGCAAGCAGAGAATAGCGAATACGACCAATGAGATCCATGCACCTACTGGCTGCAGCCATGAGCGAGCGGTGAGTATTTCCTTCGGCACTTGCTGGGTTTCGCAGGCCTCCCGGAATCGCAGATAAATGATCCCGCAGCACACCCAAGAGATGAAACCACCCGTGTTAACAAGATTCAGAAACCAGTTGAAGACGTCTGCCGCCGACGAGTTGACGTTCATGTATGCCAAGAGCGAGAACAGAGAGCTGGCAATGACAGCGTAGATCGGAACTCCCTGCTTCGTGCACCGTCTGAAGATGGTCGGGGCGCTTCCTTCGCAGGCCATTGAGTAGAGGGATCTGCTGGCCAGGTACAAGAATGAGTTTCCTGCGGACCAGGCCGCGGTAACGATAACGGCGTTGATAACGCTGTCCAGACCTTTGATGCTGGCATTCTTGATGCCGACGACCCAAGGGGATGAAGCAGCACCCGAACCGCCGTTCGTAAGAGCTGAGGCATCGGATGGGCAGATGACAGAGATGGCAATTGTGCCGCCGATGTAAAACACAACAAGACGCCAGAAGAAGTTGCGGGCGATCTTAGGCAGGTTGCGGCGGGGTGACTGGACTTCCCCGGCCGTAACGACGATCATCTCCGGAGAGAAGGTGAAGGGCAGGACGCTGCTGAGAAATGTGGATAACGCAGCCACAAACCTGCCCGCATCACCGTCGACAATCATAGTCTTGGTGGCGCCGGGATGTTGCCAGTAGCGGAAGCCCAGTCGGTCATGGCTGGGTCCACCGCCCCAGAAAAGGATGAACGAAAGGATCAGGAGGCCGACGATCGTGATGACTTTCAAGCTGGCGAACCAGAACTCGGTTTCGCCATAGAACTTGACCGGTAGCAGGTTCAGACCGACCACCAGCAGAAGCATGATAGTGATCCAGACCGCATTGTTTACGTTTGGGTTCCAGTACTCGATAACGAGTGCGGACGCCGTAAGTTCGAAGGGAACGAAGATGGCGAATGAGTAGAAGTACAACCATCCCATCATGAAACCCAAGCTTCGAGAGACGTAGCGACTTCCATAGTAGTTCATCGTGCCGCCCGGGAGAGGCAGGTATGTCGAAATCTCGACGACGGCGGTAAGGACCATGTAGATCAGGGCGGACATGACGACGTAGCTTCCGACCAGGAATGCCGGCCCGCCTCGGGCCAAGGTGCCGCCGGAGCTGACGAAGAGGCCGGTTCCAATGGATCCTCCCAGCGCGATGAACTGCGCATGTCTTGATGATAGGCCGCGCTTCGTTGTCAAGTCTCTATTTTCGGCGACATCGACCGACTCTGGGCGAGTGACCTGCGGGTCGACGCTGTGTTTCGCCTCGCTGTCACTTTCGATTTTCGGCTCCCTTTCGACCGACATCTTGGCGACTGGGGCTTTAGGAGAAAGAGACCAGTGTAGAATGGAATTAAAAACACGTATGAGGATATGTTCGCCTGCAGAATATATGCATGTTACTCCGAGAATCCACCGCTACGCCGCGCTCATTATATATGTCGTTACGAATCCCTTTAGCGGATTCTACACGACGTCGTTCACGATCACGTATTTGACGTTTCAGAGATAAGCAGTCGTCTTATCTATGGTAACGCAATTTTAGCTTTGGATGGTGGCCATGTCCTCCCGCAAGATATCGGAGTCGGCTGCTCCAAGCCGTGTGGCCGGAAAGTGGGGTCTCGGAGTCTCCTTCCTTCGGCATGCCGCATGTGATAAGCGCGAACATCGGACGTTGGTCGGAGATGTTCCCCGCGCTCAGTGTGTGATGCCTGCAGTAGTTTGGTGGTATTTAAAATTCAGCCGGGGGTGATTGCCGTTCAGATCGTTCTCACAAACATCAGCTTAATCATCTCAGTTTAACATTTCATGAAAATGAGATTCACTGACGCCCTTGTTTTGGCCGGGGCTGCGCAGACGGCCGCACTCAACGTCGGTCCAGACTACCAGTACCCAATTGAAGGTATTTCAACCCCGCTTTAGCAAACTGAGAGGCAAGTTGACTTATCATCATCAGATTTGGATAAAGACCTCCCTTTCTCACAGCCTGTTACGTTCGCCCATTTGGAATGGCAGAGATGTCTGGCTGAATCTCATAACAAGGTGACCAAACTCAAGCCGCTGGTCTCTGCACACCGGCTAATCAACGTTTCCAGCCTCTTGATGTTGCGATCTTGGGTTTTCCTTACGATACGTCGACATCATACCGTCCCGGAGCTCGCTTTGGGCCCAGAGGTATCCGCGCCGGATCATCTAGAGAAAAGAAGGGTCGCAGCTACAACACCGTCTGGGGTGTCGACCCATACGAAGAGGGCCTCGAGATTATCGACTGTGGCGATGTACCCATCACCCCTTTCGACGCCCAGCATGCCTTCAAGCAGATGGAGCAAGCGTATCGTCAGATTCTCTACCACCCAACGTCGGACAACAGTACGCAGCCGATGTCGCATAAGTAAACTCTGTGTAATTTTCGCTGACATGTCAACAGATCAATGGGAGCACCCAAGAATCATTAGTCTCGGTGGCGATCACTCCATCGTACTGCCCATTCTTCGTAGCCTGAAGACTGTGTACGGCCCAGTTTCTGTTATTCACCTTGACTCTCATCTTGATACGTAAGTTAATGTCAATTCGCGGAGAAAAATGCTGTGCTGACTGGATCTTAGTTGGGACCCTTACGAAGGATATACTGGTATCGTGTCTAACCAATCCGCAATCACTCACGGTACCTTCTTCTGGCACGCCAGTCGCGAAGGTTGCGTGAGGAAGGGCACTAGCGTTCATGGCGGCTTGAGGACTAAGCTCTTCGTACGCATCTTGCTTCTATCATGTGGACTGAATTCAACTGACAGATTTCAGGGACCGAAAGATTACGAGATCGACAGAGACGTCGTCGGCTTCACCATCATTGAAGCTCACGAGATCGACGATATCGGAATGAATGACATCATCGAGAAGGTTAAGAAGGCTGTTGGCGACACACCTGTCTATCTGTCTATCGACATTGACGGTACTCTACCACCTACTTCTCAATCACAGAGCAAGAGGCTAATTGGGTTCAATGAATGCAGTCCTGGATCCCAGTATTGCTCCGGCAACGGGCACCCCAGAGTCAGGAGGCTGGACTACCCGTGAACTGAAGAGGTTCTTGAAGGGGCTCGAAGGCTTGAACATGGTTGGCGCCGACGTTGTGGAAGTCAGCCCACCTTATGATACTGTTGCCGAGACGACCTCAGTCGCTGCGGCAGATCTTATTGTGGATATCTTAGCCGGCATGACCAAGAAGAAGGCCTTCAAGCCAGCACCTGAAGTCAAGGATGAGCTTTGAAGAGCTGTTTCTGTACGAGCCGATAACTGTCATGCATGCGTTGGGCTGATAATCGATTGTGCTTATGCTGCTGGCGAGGCAGCTGACGCCATTGCAGATTAGCTTACGTTGTAATACGAACAACTGTTCTCGCTAACAGACCCCGTCATTTTAGGCGTTTAAAATTTGGCTGTGAGGTTTTTCTAAGACACGCGCAATCTACATCCGGAGAAATGCTGTCACACATACGGCGCATTTATCCGATTGATCACTTGAGCACTTGAGCTGAAGCTTACGCCCAGTGTGACAAGTCAGAAAGTCAGGAATTACACAGTCATCAACCGCGCGGGATAAACACAGTTTCTATCCGTGTTTGGACGTCGATCATTTACGATCAACATTGGAAGCAGTGTGTGTACTTGTATGCAAAAGAACGACGGCTCGGTCACGGCTCGGCCCGCCGCTTTCGCCCGGCGCAAATGTTCTTGAGCCGCGCGGGAGGGCCATCCTACCCCACTTCGGCGCCGCAACGACTCCATAGCCGGTAATAATTCCGGATTGGATCGGGGACGTGACTGTATTTACCGCGCGGCATACCCCGCTCGTGGCCACGGCAGATCACTCAGTGGCCAGCAATTCCTGCCGTGCTACCGTATCTCGTCACTTTTCAGGAACTAGGTGAGTAGAACGGTCAGGATGACGCTGTTGAAAGTAACGAACATGGCAAGACTACCGCGCGCTCAGCGGTCAGGCTCGGAATTCCTTAACTTGTGGTAGTCTTCATAGCTTCGTATTATCAACTATTTAATACGACGACTTAGACCTCAATTCTGTGCATTCTATCCGCATAGCATACTTGTACTACCTTCAACTAAACTCTTCGCATCTGCATTAGCACGTCCATCGTTGCGGTCATCGGGGCGACCGGCGCTCAAGGAGGTTCGGTCGTCAACCAGCTCCCTCAAGACCCAAAGTGGAAGGTCCGAGGAATAACAAGGAATGCGAATAGTGCAAAAGCCAAAAGCCTGGCAGAGAAGGTACGCATAAACGTATTTCAGGATGAATTTCTGCCTCATCATGTCTTTCAGGGGGTCGACGTCGTAACCGCCGATGTCAACGATGAGTCTGGCCTGGTCAAGGCCTTCGAGGGAGTAGCAGCAGCTTTCGTCGTGACGACTTATTGGGAGTCCATTCCAACCTTGGGCCGTGATGGAGCAGGCCTGGAGGAGCTCGAGCAGCTTAAGAACCTCGCCAGGGCTGCTTCACAGTCAACCACTCTCAATCACTACGTCATTAGTAGCTTGCCCCACGCAGACAAAGCCTCCAACGGGAGGCTGAAGGTCCCTCACCTCGATTACAAGCAACAGGCCATAGACTGGATGATCGAGAACACTCCTGAGTTGGGGTCGAAGACGACAGAGTTCTGGCTGGGTTGGTACACCTCGAACCTGGCTTTTTTGCCAACGATGAGATTCACTCCAATTGTACGTTGAGAGATAACCATGATTTGTCTAAGCACATGACATCACTGACCATATTCCTCTTCAAAGCCAATGTCTGCAGGGTATGCGTTCATCGTTCCGTTGTCCCCATCCGGCATACTCCCCATCTTTGGCGACGCCCAGACCAACTCCGGTATTGTCGTTCGCGGAATCCTGGACACTGGTGCAAAAGCCTACGGGAAGGTTGCAGTCTGTGTCACGGACTACAAGCCCATGGCCCAGTTGGTAGACGTATTCGAAAAGGTCACCGGCAAGCCCGCGGTTTACTTTGAGATATCCGATAGCGACATGGCCAAAATCTGGGGAGACTTTGGTGCGGAGCTAGCGGCTCAGTTGAGGTTCAGCGAGGAGTTCCCTGATTGGAGTTCGCTCGCCTCTGGGAGAATCATTTCACTGGAGGAGCTTGGTGTTCAGGGCAAGTTGATCAACTTCGAGCAGGCGCTGACGGCGTTGAAGGATAAGATCATTTGAAAGTTGGGAATGCTAGCAACATTTGGATCTCGCAAAAGACTCTGGGCTCGAGAGTATTGCTTAGCCTCTCCAGTGATATGATTCCAGCTTTTTACAGATGACTTAATATCCGTGGGACTAAAGGGCTTAACCCAAAGTATTCATGCTATTGACACTATTATTATGAGAATTCACTCTGAAACAGTGATTCGTAGGTTTCCCTCATATTCAATGCTATTGTTCTACTCCCTTCGTAACTCTTATTCATGTCTACGAGCTTTTCTCGTAGGGAACCTCGGCCATAGTGTGAATTATCACCATAAACCCAGCATGGACCCCTAACACTAAGGTACTTGCAAATTCTTGACCCATGAGCTGAGGCCATTCAAATGCGTCGATCCAATCGGTGCATATTTCACTAGATCATTAATCATAAAACAAAACAAACACTAACGACGCGGTGTACCTAAAAAGTGAGACCGTTTCATTAGGCTACCCTTACTCTAACTCAGTTGGCGTTGAGGATGCCTGCTTGCTTCGACCATCGTACACGTCGTCTATCTCTATTCGTGGCTAAAGTCTAACGTAGACGTCAACAGACAGCCGGTGCCCAGACAGGCAACTCTTTCGGCGGCACAGACAACTCATCCCAAACTCTTCACCGCAGCAATGTAGCGACGCCCGCATGCCAGCATCCTTCCAACAACGAGACAAGGCGCAGGTTTACGCGCTGGCCAGTGCCAACCACGGCGTTTGCCATTACGCCCGCTCGCCCACCTCATCAGCAGGGCACCGTTACACAGAAAACGTGTCCCAAATACCATGGACGCATTCCCTCGACCCCGCGTGTTGGGTCAGGAACTCCCACTGTGGAAGATACCTCGACCGGTTCTCGCGCGTAGCGGGCGATGTTCTATCGTCACACCCGGCACCCACTGCGTCGAGCTGATTCGTCGCGATGCCACTTTTGAAAGGTCTTGGCCGTCACCAACGACAGGTCGCGAGATGATGTCGGAGGGGGTTGTATGGTGCTGCACCGTTGAGATGCCTTGGTGTGTGGATCTTTTCTCTTCCCTTTTGGAGGTGGTTGCGTGTTTGCCAATCGTGCT